TGTCTCTCTCTCTCTCTCTCTCTCTCACACACACACACACACACACACACACACACACACACACACACACACACACACATACATGAAGTGCTCAACCCAGTGGAGAAGTGGAAGAACTCCTGTAGAGGTGTATTAGTAATGGCAGGATAGGCATCTTTGAGTCAGAGTCAGGTGAAATCCAGGTGTGCTACGTGTATAGTAAAGTTCTCCACAGTGTGAGCAACGGTGGCAGAATCTGACCCCAAATATTTATTTCACTGGATTCTAACATTATCAACCAAATTGAGGCTCAGAAAGGAAATGTTATGTAACATGCACAATCTCTTAATTTTATTTTAAAGGAAGTGTGTTAATAACTTTAACATAAACAGACACACACACACACACACAAAATGTAACAACCAACTTGTAGTGTTGGTTTTAATTGCTTGGCTTTACCACGTCAGGGTTCTGCCTGCTATTCATAGGGTTACTGAAATAAGTCATTGGGTGCAATTTTCAAAGGGCCCAAGTGTCTTGGAGCCCAAGTCCAGTTGCAAGCCAATGGAAATTAAGTTTTTAAGTTACTTAGGCCATTTTGAAAATACCATCCACTTTTAGGGACTTGAACTCTGAGTGCCTAGTCTGTGTAGACTGATGTTTTTTTCACAAAAGATTCAACACTTATTTAAAAAAATAATAACATTGGAATCTTCTTTCCCCATTTTCCAGTGTCCCATTTCAGAACACAGCTCTCAAGATGAGTCATTGCCCATTTTTCCCCCTTTAAAAATGAAAATATTTTAGTACATGTAAAGTCATATTAAAATAGAATCACTAGTCTCTCTACACAATCAAGTTTTCCTGCTCAAATACCTATAGCCACCATCCTTTTTCTGTTGTGAGTAATTAAGCACTGTGCAAGACACTTTTAAAAGGGCTTTGATTAATCATCAGTTGGATCACTGACAGACTGAAAGCCATCCACACCTCCCAGAGTGAGTAATAGGTGGGCCTGTACCTACATTATGTGTAACACATGAAGCCAACTCAAGCAAGCAGTGCCTTCTGGCACTTGTAGTTTTTCTTCTTCCTCCTCCCCTTGTCTCATCATCTGAGGTCAGGTTGTCATGAAAGCATCCACCATCATCTTCTGACCAAGGAAGCAATAAGGTCCAACTGTTTACCGTCTCCTTTGATGCAATCCATCCATCGCTTCCTTGACTTTTCTTGGAGTCTCTTTCCTACCACCCACTCCTGCCATTCTGTCCTCACCAGGTCCTTTTCATTCATCCTCTGTATGTGACTGAACCAGCAAAGTTGCATTTCCTAGATTTTGTCAGCCACATCACACTTCGATTTCCATTCTAATGCTTCATTTTAAAATCTATCTCTTTATGCACTCTTTTGATTGCACGCAGACATC